GACCAGGGATACTGAGCTGGGTCTGAGCAACAGCTAAAATTCCATCCAAAACACATGGTTACCTTTTTATCTGGGGGTTTTAAGGCTGTTGTAAGGAGTTTGTCTTGCACAGTTTCTGTTACACAAGTAAACAGGTTGCAATATTTAAAAATTATAATATTTACTAATATTTCACAGGGGTTTTTTACAGGGTATTTGTGTTAAAAATCGGTGTTTATTTTGCATGGGGTTGGCTTAATTTAGAGACAAGAAACACTTTATTTGTAGTGTTACCATTTAATGTTTCTCGTTTTCATTTCCTGCTGCCCACCTCCATGCCTGTCCCTCTGGTTGGTTGGATTTTGCACTGAGGAGGGATTATCCATCCTCTTTATTCCCCCTCCCTGCGTCTCCCTGCCTGTGTCCTTGGCCATGGCAGCGCTCCCTGCCTTCCCTTCCTGCCTCTCGGATTGTTTCCGGTTTCCAGCCTTTCTCCAGGGGCTGGGTGTGCCAGACCCCCTGGTATTTTTCACTGGAGTGAGCTGTGGGTCTTGGTGCAAGGACTCACTCGAGTGCCTTAGCTATCCATGTAGCCACTAATTCATCAAGCTCCAAATAAGCTTCACCCCTTTTTCTCTGTTGGGCTTCGAATTTTCCACTTTAGAAGAAAAAATGTTCCGAGTTCAAAGTCCATGTCTGGGCTGACACTGGTTGCTCAGCTGTTGGCCTTGGCACTGGTGTTTCTGAAGTTAAGCCTGGTGTGATTTTTGTATATTTTGAAGACCAACTGTCCCCCTCCCTGTGCTGGTGCCAGATGTGGTCTGGGTGGGAAGCAGCTGTTTGGCGCTGCAGTAAATGCTCCCACCCTGGCTGATGTGTGCAGCAGCTGGGCTGCTCTGCTGGCTTGTCCCTGTTCAGCTTCCACCCAGTACAACAGGGACAATTACTTGATATCCTGTTAGTATTGATGGTGCTGAGTTTCTTGCCCAACTGAACATTCAGTTAACTCAAGTTCTTTGGTATTTCTCAGGACAATCCATGCCTTGAAGTCCCCTGCACAACCGTGTCTGTGCCTGGTTAGCAGAGCAGGATGGTGCTTCCTTCCTACTCGGTGCCTGTAGCAATAAACACTTTTCTGCAGAAAATAGCTCTGCAAACTGCCAAATTGAAGGTGATCAAGTCCTTGTGATCAACTCTGAAACTCTGTGCAAGTGAATTCCCTCATGTTTGTTGACAGAGGGGGATTTTGATATTTTAGCAGCCTGTGTTGGTCAGTTGAGGCTCTGAAGTTCCAGCACTGGAGCTGCTTTGAGTGTTTATATCTCCTAGAGATCTTCCTTGATCATAGATCACCCATGGGACACTGTAGATCAGCTCTGTCCTTTTTCTTCTCCTTGTCTCTTTAGTGGGCAGAATTCTGCCTAACAAAATGTTGGGGAAATGGATGGTGTTTCCCAGTGCCTGGGTGTGTGAACATCTGATCTGCACTTTATTGGAAAAAAATCCCTGTTGCTGTTGTAGTGGGAAGTCTTTTTGGGATGGGGGATGAGTAAACTGCTTTTCTCTTAAAAGTGCAACCAGTAACTTAAGAACAGCTTATGGAGAGCAGTTGTGAGCATTTAGGGTCATGTCAAATAAACGTGGATTTGTTCTGTACATTCACATTCCTTCTTGCTTCCAGTAAACTGTAAATGTTGAAATACCTCATTTAGAAACTTCTCAAGTGTACTTTACCAAACACACAAAAAAGTGAAAAACAAGACTTTTGTTCCCCATAGGAACACCCCTCCAGCCCTTCCCCAACAATAAAATCCAAACCATTCCCAGATGTGACATTTACAGGAAGGCATTGCCCCCTCCCTCTGCCAGCCCAGGCTCTGGGCAAGCTCTGCAGCCAAGAGCCTGCTCAGAGCCAGGGCCTGGGGCAGCTCTTGTGGGGTTTTTCCAGCTCTCTGTAAGCTGGGAAAGGCAGTTTTGTGCCAATGTGTGTTTGGAGACTTTCTGTGGAGCCAGGGGTACAGGGATTGTCACTGTTCTGGAAGGAAAGATTAAAATTTTGCAGAAAGTGTTGAAGATTTCTTCAACACTTCTCACTGGAGAGGTTCATACTTGCTGCTGTGGAATGAGTCAGGCAGCCTGATGTTGAGACCTCCATATTAACATAGGAACTTTTTCTCAGATGGAAACTTCTAAATACAGAGGATGGATTTCCTGGGAGGAGCTGTGGGAATTGGCTGTGCCACCTTCTGTGTGAGCATTTGCCAGTGACATGTTGGTGCCATGTAACAGGGGAGGAGGTGCACAGTCTGTCCCTGCACACAGCAGCTGAATCAGTCCCACACGTGGACACCTCATTTACATGCTAAATATCAACCACACCAGTTAGCTCTGGGCAGGATGGATGGTGTGGCACCAGGCCTGGAGGAGAGAGCCTGGGACAAGTCCCTGAGCCTGGGTGGCTTTTGAAGCCTGGCTCGTGACAACGCAGGGCTCCCTCAAAGGCTAAATGAGTAGCTGCAGTAATGACACAATACTCTGCTTTGTGTTTTAATTCCAATAATGCCTGGCTGCTGAGGGTTGCTCCACTTGGAGAGCTTGCATCAACTGCTGTTCCCTGTGCATGGGTGATGAGCACAGTCCATCTGAAGGTGCCCCCTGTGCTAGGGCACTGGTGATGACCCTCTGTCAGCCCTGCATGCTGGGCTGCAGTGCTGTTGTGCAGCCCTGTGCTGATGTCACATAGATGACCCAGTTTGGGTGACTGGGCCCTGTAATGAGGGGCTTTCAGGGCCAGGGCCTCAATAGCAGCTCTGTCTGCTGCCCTGCCAGCAGAGCCCACAGCTGAGAAGTCTGGTTGTGAGCCCTGCAAGGAGTCCAACTGCTGCACCTGCCATCTGAGGACCAGGTTTGGAAGTAAGGCTCTGGGAGATGATGATGAAGGCTTTTGGTCTGGTGATGCCCCCTGGCACTTGCCAGCCTGCCAGTGAAGGGGAATTCCGGAGCTTCTCCCATGAAGTGCATCCTGCCTTGGCTCTGTCACGTTTGTTCAAGGACTTTTTTAGTAAGTCAAAAACCAGATGTTCCTTTAGTGTGGTACTGGCCAAAGGGCAGCTTCTACAGACACAAAACTAAAACAATTTAAGGCTTTGATTTGCCCTGCAATCAAGATAAGCTTTTTCTACTGAGCAGACTGGTGTGCAGAGGTCAAGGAGTTTCTTGTGTTTTGCTCAGGACTGTTGGGGTGTCCTCGGTGTGCAGCTTCTCCCAACAGGCTCTTCCCTCCTCATGGCACAGCCTGAGTTCAGACAAAGCCTTGTTGCCAGCACAGAGGAGACAGAAAAGGCTGGCTGGCTACTTCTGGAGTCTCTATTTTAATACTTCCTGCCCCTTCCCTGATGTCTTCTAGTCTGGTTCCTTTTCGGAAGTCTCCTACTGCTATCTGATTTGCTCCTTTAATTTCTCTCACCCTTTTTTGTGAAGGGGGTGGAGGGTGCTGGTTCAGATGTAAAATTCTGGCCTGGACAATAATGGGAAAGTGGATAATCTGCCTGCTCACTATTGTTCTCCTAACTGGGGGAAGAAAAATCATAGTCCCATTTTCCCATGAATAATTCCTCTGTGTTTCTCTGCTGTTAGAGCTTTCTCCAGAGCTTCCCTAATTTCCCAACAGATCAGCTAAGCCATCTAATGAGATGATCCTGTCCCAGGAGGTGTTTGCTCCTCTCACAGCCTTCCTGCTATTGGGCCTGGCTCATGGTGGCACTTGGCAGGTACCTGCCAGGTGACAGAGACATGGTAATCAGTGCTGAAGGTGGCCCTTGACTCCAGGAGATGCTCGTCTGCCCTGTCTCTGGGGAAACAGACTTCACAGAATTTGTGTTGGCTGAGGAAATGGCAAAACCTCCATTTAATTATCTGATAAATGGGCTGAGCAGTTGCCTGTCTAGTGGACAGCTTAGGGCTTGCTAACTTGTGATACCTGCTGGTGGGAAGTGATAAAAGTGTCTGTGGGGGAAAACAACACCTTTCTTCTGTGTGGCATTTTAGGAGAGAGTGCGGGAGAGTTCGTGTCCCACTTCAGCATCTTGCTTCCCTAGCTTGAGATCATTAAAAAACGAAGTGTAATTTGGAAACACAGCCTTTTTTGTCTGGCTCCAGAAGTCAGCATTCTCTGGTGACTGGCACTGTTCTGTTGTCAGTGGGTTATCGCTGGCTGAGGTGTATTAAAATGCTTCATGTTAAGTGCATTAAAAGTGCTTCACGTTAAGCTCTGGTGGCCTCTCTGGTAGGTGATGGGGCTGTGTTGATGCTCAGGTACAGAATATTTGCTGCTGCACAGCTTTGTAAGCCACTAAGATCTTACTTTCCTTTTTTAACTCTTAATCTGATCCTGTGCCCCCGAGGTGACCTGGCTGACGCTGGGTCTGTTTGCTTTGCTTGCATCCAGCTCAATTGATCCAGACCACTTGGTCAACTGATAAGAAGCAGATTTTTTAGACTCCAGTTTCTGCAGCAGTTTTTACCAGGCGTGTAACTCAGGAAGATCAGCTCTTAATTGTTCTAGGAGATTAAAGAGAAACTTTATTAATTCAATTAAATCTGATTCTCTTTGTTCCCTGCTTGGCTTTTGGAAATGTTGAAAACAGGTTTCTAAATGGAATGAGGCACCAGCAGCCTTAATTCACAGATCCCTCTAATCACTCCTCCCACAGGCATCAGTGTGTGGAGGTTGTTTGTTTGTTTCACCATGGAAAGACAATACAAAGTCTTTTTAAAGAGATGTAGATATTCCTCAGGAAGCACAAGGGGGCTTTGCTGCCTGATTTTCTTTGTACTACTTTGAAAAGAGAAGCCTCTCTCATTTTTGCAGCTGGTGGGATTATTTTAGCTGGTCCAAAAATCCGTTTATTAGGCCAGGTGTCTCCTGAAATGTCCTAGCAACTTCTTCCCTAGAGTAAGGGAGGTTTTGTTTCCTTAAGGAGAATATATGGCTAAAATGTTGAAATTGTTTTTGTTTACAGATGTTCTCAAACAACGATGAAGCTGTGATCAACAAAAAACTTCCCAAAGAGCTGCTGCTCCGGTAAGCCTGCCTCCCAGGGCCTGGTGTGGGGCCCAGGCTGCTGATGTGCTCATAAATCATCAGCTTGGATTGGCTCACTTGTAGAGCTGTAGACAAACAGAAGCAGATCAAAGGTCTGCATCAGCAGCAGTTGATGCTCAATATTACTAGGTTTTGGTTTGTAAAATGTTAAATGAAATTGCTGGTTGCCTGTTTGGTAGATGGAAGAAGCAAGGACTGAAGTCCTAATGAAAATAAATGGTAAGTGTGGACTTGTGTGTGGAACAGGATTCTGACTGTCTGGGGTGTTCCTGTAGGCAAAAACTGGTTTCTCTCCTCCAGTGACACTCGAGGAGACTTTGTCCTGTTCCCTGTCAGTGACAGACAGATGTTCAGCACCTGGCAGGATGGTTCTGTTGGCAAAGAGCAAACAGATCAGGCTGCATGGATCTCAGCAGCCACCTCTGCCCCCTCCCTGTGCTGCCCTCACACACGTGCCCATGTCAGAGTTTGGCTCCCCCAGCACAGGAGCAGGGGCTGGGGGGTGTGTGATGTGCCTCAGTGTCACTGAGGGGCATCTTGGAGCTGAGCTGCTAGACTGGGAACAGGGAAGGCAACTGCAGGTGGCAGCTTGTATTATTAACATGAACAAAATTCTTGCACTGCGAGAAACTGTGTAGTACTGACAACATTTAGTGGCAATAAAAGGTCTGGAGAGAGGAGCCCTGGCACAGGGAACTGCTTCTGGTTCACTTGGGCAATAAAATGAATAGAAAGCAAAGTCTGCCTCTTATTTTTCTTTTGACTGCGCTGCCTCCTCTGCTCTCTGTGGTGGTATCTCCAGTCTCATTCAGTTTCTTTCATTCCAGGGCTACTCATCCAAAAGCTCAGTGTATGACTCCTGAAGCCCTCCTTGCTACTGCTGGGGGGGCTTGGGTTTGTGGTTGTCCAGGCCAGAGAGATCACTGAGGGAAAATCAGCCTCAGGAAGCAGGGAGAGACAGGCAGCCTGTGGGAGGAGCAGGATGGAGCAGTGAGCTGGGGGATGCCCCAGGGACTCTGCATGGGTTTTGTAGGTGACAGCAGTGGTCTTCACCCAGCTCTTGGTGCTGCAGCAATGTGGAATTGGAAAAGTAAGAGAAATGTCTCTGGATTTACTGAGAGGGGAGTCCTTTCCTGATGGGAGCAAGTAGGTCCTGGTGCAGATGTAACAAAAGCAGGATTTGTTCTTGTGGTCTGGTGACAAGAGACAGGCTGGGGACAGGTTGTGAGGGGCACTGGTGTGAGGCAGGGAGTTTGGTAGGGAGGAAAGGTTTGGGAGGGTGGAATTTACTGGAGATTTTGTATGGAGTTCAGAGGAAGAGGAATGCATGTGGGCACTGGGCTCCTGAGGAGCAGGACCAGGGGTGGGCTTTCTGGCAGGTGGGTCAAAGTGGGTCCTGAAGGGGACCAATAATCATATCTTGGGCTGTAGGAGATAGCTCGTGCTGAGGAACATTTCTGGACAATTGGAGAAGGCTTTGTGGTAAGTGGGAGGGAAGATCCTGCACCAAGCAGGGAATCTTGTCAGTACAAGCCACAGTTCCAGCAGCACACGCTGCTCCTGCCCTGCAGAAATGTTTTTATCTTTTGTGTCTTGGAATCACTAATCATCCTAACCTGCTGCAGAGCACAGCAAGTGCTGAGGATTGTGTGGAACCTAGAAGAAATGGAGACAAAGTTTATAAATGTTAAAGTTCATAAGTAATGGTTTTGAGAGTTGGAATTCACTGTTAGCATACTGTGAAAATTAATTAGTGTGGATTGACAGTGCAGCCTTTGAAAGAGAAACTTGGGTGCATTTATCTTCAGGAATCCCCTGTAAATGAGTGTCAGTGTCTACGAGACAAAGCCTGATGTGTTGAAGCAGAGCTGCTGTGTAGTGTCTTGTTCTCTGGTTTGTTCATTCTGCAGATGGCATTGGTGTCTCGTGTGTGTGGTTGCAGAGTGGAAAGCTGTACTTGAGCAAAAGAAAGAGTAGGAGGATATAACAGGGGTGAACAGCAGCCTTTGTCACATCCCAAGATACAGAAATGTGCAGCTCTAGTACCACTTTTGTCTGGGAGGGTGGGCTGGAGGTGTAAAGCTCTCTGGAGGGCTGTCCTCAGAAGTCAGCCCTGCACGTGTGTCCATGGTTGAGCGGGGGGGTCGTGCTCTGTTCTGCCACCACACTGGTGGCACTGGTGCTTGTCCTGGGGCTCCCCGAGAGCAGGGCTCCATAATCAATGCTGTCCTGCAGCACGTGGGTGGAGAAATCAGCTGATGGGTCACAAGTCCTTGTCCTGATGCTTCTGTACCTACTCCAGCTTTGTCTCCTGCCGGCAGAGAGTCCAGCTTACACCTTTGTAGCTGAATAGACCTTTACACAGCTAAAAATGAGCCCAACCAGCCAGAAGTGGAATTCCATTCACCACCCTCGTTCCTCCCCTGCTGCCAGCTGCTCTTTGGGCAGCCTCTGGCTCGGTGGCTGGTTCGTGGTCCACATGGGCTCTGGCTGTGGCCCCTGCCCCACAAGGGCCATTGTGTCCTGTTCCCTGCTCTGCTGCGAAGGTGCTGTTGTTCCTCACGGGCTGCCTGCCAGCTGTGCAACCCCAGCCACCAGCCTGGCTTTGCTGTGGCACTGATGGTCCCTGCTGGTCTCCTGAAGAAGGTTTGCTCCTGGCATGACTGGCCTGGTAGGGCCAAGGGGACCAGGCTGCCTGAGTTCATCTTCTCCTGATGGGTTCATGGGCAGGTCAAGCACTTGTCAGTTCTCTCCTGGCCTAAGCCGCTTTTACTCCGTGCCACCTCCTGCTGCCTGCCTGCCAGCCAGTTCTCAGCATGTCCAGGCACTGCCTTTGCCATCTGACCTTCCAGCCCCATGGTGGTCTAAGCTACCTCACCTCAGTGCCCACAGCACCCAAGGATTTCATTAGAGTCTTGACCCTAATCTAATTAGAGAGGCAGTGGGAAAGTGAGGAGTGCTAGAAAACCCTGAGTGGATTAAGAGATTGAAACCTGGAAAATGTTCCAACTGCAGCAGGTTTGAGCTAAATTGCTTGGAGCTGGACTGGTCTGGCAGAGTCCTAAACATAGTGACTTACTGTGCAGGGAAGTAATTTAATCTGCTGCAATACCAGACTTGTTTTAATTCCTGTTCAGAATACTTGGTCTGCCTTCACCTGTGATCACTGTGCAATGATAAAGTTACTGGTGTGGATTATTTTCTTGCTGTTGACTCTGAAGAGTCAGAAGAGCAACGGAGGAGCCCAGCAGCCAGCAAAGCACAAACCCTGGGCCTGGGCTGTGAGAAGAAACATCCCAGCAATGGCCCTTTGGATCTTTGAAGGCAGAATCAGGAAACCCATTATTCAAGTCATCCTGTTCAGCCTGCTGATGCTTTTTTTTCACCAGATAAACTGTATCTGAGCAGAGCAGCAGGTATTTTCTAAGGATTTGGTACTTGGAACAATTCCAGTTATTACTGAGAGAGGGTCTGGAGCTGAGTAAGTTGTATCCAGATTTCCTGTCAGCCTGGTGTGTTTCCTCATGGAAATTTTAATTGAGCTATAGGGTAGGAGCCAGAATACATATTATTTCAAGTGAACATATAAATTAGCTTTGCCTTATTATTTTACCTAGTGTGCAGAGCAGGTTGCTGAAAGGAGACCCAGCATTTCTGCCCTGGCTGTGCTCCTGGAAGGCCACGTCCGCTCAGTCACTGCTTGGCCACGTGGGCAGCTTGTTTGTGGGGTTTTGTTTTCTTTGTTGGGTTTTTTTAATTGTTCCCCAATGGCTCCTTGGAGGAGAATGAGCCTCTCCTCAGGGCTGCAAAAACTTGGAAAACTCAGCTGGGGCCCTTGTGCCTGCAGGATTTCAACTGTGCTCCTGTTTGCTCTGGGTTGGTGTGAGGGGCTGTAGTTGGAGCCAATTCTTAAAGGACTAAAATGCACAAGAGAGTCATGAAGACTGCTGAGTGATCTTTGCAGGCTGATTCTGCTGAGTCACTGGCCAATGTTCTTGAGCAAACGCAAGTGTAGATCAGAACACACTGGAAAATGCTCTTGAGCTTTTCAGAGCCAAAGTCTCTCAGCCAGAGAACAAAGGAGCTCCTGGCAGAGCTCAGCAGTGCTCGCTCACCCCAGAGGTGAGAGGGGTGAGTGTTTTGCTGTGCTGACATCCCTTTTACTGTGGGTAGAGTGGGAAGGGAGGAGCAGGAAGCAGAAAATAATTTGTCCAAGACCTACCAGCCCTGATAGAGGGATGAGATGGTTATTAATAGCCTGGGATTTCCATGGAGAAAGCAATTTTAATGAAAATATAGAAATGTTGCGTAGTTACTGACCTCACCACTGTTCCCATGGAGTCTGGGGATGTTTTTGCTCCTATGATGGGCATCTAGGGTGAAAGTGAGAATTTTCTCTAGCTTCTGTCATTGCCCCAGGCTTCCTTGTATTGTTGTACATTGACATTGTGCTAAATAAATCCTCACTGCTCACATACATGTATGAATAAATGACACTTAATTCGAGGGGACGCCTGGTCTGTGAGCAGCTGAAAGCGAGGGTGGAGTTGCTGCTGCTGCAACCCAGAGGGGGCAGTGGGACAGTGAAGTGCACATCAGCTGAGTTTCAAACATCTCAACTGGGTGTGTCTCACCATGTCTCTAAATTCTGTCTCATGATGTGATGCATAAGGATCAGTGGAGAAGTACCTTGACCCAAACTCCTTGCATCCATGGGTGTCTTTGGGCAGTGTGGCAGCACAGGAGAGCACTTGGCTCTTTATTCTGCTGTAACTTGGCTGAGTGTTGGACTGTAAAGCTGGGTGGTACCTGTAAGCATCTGTGCTTTGATAAATAACCTGCAATCATCCTCTGTTGGCAACATCCTTTCTTCCACCTCCACAGATGTTTCTGAAGTGCTTTTTATATACCTGCTAGTGAAGAAAGCTTGGTCATGCCATGGTTTTATCATACAATCTCAGCCTTGCTTGGGTCCTCACCTAAAATGTGAAAATCCAGGATTTTGCTTTATTTTTCTCTACCAATAAGCAAACACACACGTGTGGCTGAAGGTGTGACAGGTATGAGAAGCACACAGAACCAGGTGTCAGTGGCAGAGGCTGGGTCACCCCCAGGGTTTGTCTGTGGGACAAAACACCGCTCAGCTGTGATGCACACGAGGTTGGGTCATTGTTCTCAGCACCTCTTCTCCCAGCTTTATCAGGACCTCTGTTGTTTGTTCAAATGTATTCTTTGTACTTCTCTGGGGACATGAATTAATCACACAGCTTTCTTGTTTTTGTGTTAGAGTTTCAGTACAGGGTGTTTTAAGTTTGTAAGTCACATGAACAGAACGTGCTGCTGCCAGCAGCATCTTCTCATTCCTGAGTCTCTTCCAGCACAGACAGGTCTGCTGAGAATACAGGGAAGCTTATGTACGCCCCCCTCCAAGCCCACAGTCTTGTTGGGGGATGACTCAAGTGTTGCAGGTATCCAAAGCATTGCTCATCTGGGCATGCAGTGTTCTCTGGAGAAAGTCTGGAGAGTTTTGGAGCAGAGGATTGCTGTTTGTTCTCCAGATTTCTCCTGGACAACCATACTTTTTTATGAAATGGTGTATAGCACTGGGACAAAATTGCTCGCCCCATACCTTGAACACTTGCATCTGAGGACATTTGCCTTCTTTTCCTGGTGGTCTCCCAAGTTTAAAATATTAAAACTATTTTCTTGTAGTCAAAACACTTGAATTATCTTTGCAAAAACATTTCCTCTGGTGGTTCTGTGGTTGCCATCAAAGAGAATAAAACCTTACTGTCTTTCTGCTGTCCACTTGATCTTCTCTGTTTTGTGGCATATGATTGTTTGAGTAGCTATAAACCATAAAATAACAATATTGATAAATGGGCAAAGATTTGGGAGCTTTAAACAGGGTTGGTAGGTTCTGCACTCACAGGGGGAGCGTGTGTGCCTGAGTGGATGTCTCAGCCCAGTCCAGCACTGCAGTGTTACTGCCTGATTCCTTTCTCCCAGTGAAGAGTTCAGCAACACCAGGGTGTTGGCCTGAACCCATGGGTGTGCCTGGCAGGGGGATGACACCACAGAGGAGTGACCATGTGGCCCCAATCCTGAGCATGTCCCTGCTCTGACCCAGCCCCAGCAGCCACTGGCTGGGGGGGGGGG